AGATGAAATCAATCTGTGTGACATTAATGTAAACATTGTGCATTACAAACTGGTGGACATTTCATTGTTCAAACAGGAAAAATAGACAATATGTTTGCATGCATGTGTTTTCCCTACAGCAAAGACAATAACACAATATAAGTGGCAGTATGTGTTTTACAAAAGAGGAAGTGAATTATATAAAAGAGGTAAAAAGCAAGTGGGGGAGGGCTGTGAGAGAAAGCCTCATGGTAGGTGATTCTAACAGGGCGGAGGGGGAAGGAATTATTCGCAGGGTAAAGATTTTTATGAGAAAAAGTGTCATTTTAAAAAATGTCACTTTCCCCAAATGTTATTATAATCTCATTTCCTAATTGCATGAGCAATCCAACCAGTTTTCATCGTGCTGTAATAGGGAGTCCAGTTGCTTTAATTTTAAATATAGTCAATTTCCTTGTGCAGAGAAAAGAGCACATTGCCTTTAAGAGCAGTGTGACTGACAAGACGGAAAAATGCGGGCAGGATGTGGAGGCTGAAGGCTTTCAATCACCTACCATTAATATGATTCAATTTATGCTTATGTCATAGGTTTAGACACCGCACAGTGCTGTAAGCAAGGGAAGGACTTGAATAAAACAGTGAAGAAAGCAGATGGTATGCTATCAAAACCCTTCAAGCCTAAAATAACCTTTTCTAAGTAAGAAGGATAGTTAATTAAAGCCAGGAATATATTTACTCTGTTCGGAATATCTCAATGTAAATAAAAATCGAAACGACACTACTGTAATGTGAGACCAAATGATGAAATTCCATCTACGTTATTTTTCTTTAATAGTTTCTAATCAAACTTTTCATTAAACAGCTTTATAAAATTCCACAGAGAATTTATTTATGGGGACTCACGATAGATTTTCATGCCTTACTTTTATTGATCAATTAAACTTGTTTATTCAGTGGACAACGTTGAAAGGCCAGGGAAGGGAGGGGTGTGTCTGGGAAGCAGGGCAAGGTTGTCACATACACAGAGATGCCCGTTTTCAGAGATGAACCCCAGGAATGTAAGGAAGCCTTGGAGCGTGCAGAGAAAATGTGGGGCATCCCAGCCCAAGAAGGGACATTCAAATCTAGTTCCAAAGCCACTTGCTTAGGATCATCCCAGCCCTGGTCCACACACTCAGGTTCATGACTCCCTGGTAGAGACGACATCCAGCCATTTAAAAACCCGCTCAGGGTGGTAACTAAGGGCAAGGAAACCTACGAGAGGCCAACAACTGACCATGGTGAAGGTAGCAATTCCTACCATGGAGAGCCAGGACATGAATTTTATCTTATTTTATTTTATTTTATTAAGTAAGTAGGTAAGTAAGTAATTGATTTTTATTGATTTTCGATTAAGAAGGGGAAAGACCTGAAACTGGTTTGGCTCAGTGGATAGAGCGTCAGCCGCGGACTAAAGGGTCCCAGGTTCAATTCCGGTCAAGGGCATGTACCTTGGTTTCGGGCACATCCCCAGTATGTATTTCTAACTCTCTATCCCTCTCTGTTTCTCTCTGTAAAGAATCAATAAAATATTTATTAAAAAAAGAAAGAAAGAAAGAAAGAAAGAAAGAAAGAAAGAAAGAAAGAAAGAAAGAAAGAAAGGGAAAGAGAGAAACACTAAGGTGAGAGGGAAACATTGATTGGCTGCTTTCCATACCAGAGATCAGAGTGGAAACCTGGGCATGTGCCCTGAAGGGGAATCAAACTGGCAACCTTTTGGTGCATGGGATGACGCTCAACCAACTGAGCCACATGGGCCAGGGCAGGACATGAATTTTAAATGACCCAGATATGTGTAAAAGGTTTCTCATAACCTCTTTGCTTAACACTAACACCAGATCCAGTCCTGCCCTTTCCACTCGGCTTCCCTCTCTTCGTGATCATGAGCTCCAGTCACTTCACTCCTCCCACCCCCAATGCACTGTGAAACTCCGACTATACTTGCATTCTGCAGCACTCACCAAATACTTCATCACCGACTTTCTTGTAACATTAGTTAACTTTCAGGTGCCTTACTCCTGTCTTCCCCAATTAGATTTTAAATCCTCAAAACTAGCAGAGACTGTGCTTTATTTACCTTTTGAACACCCCTCTCCGCTCCACTCCATAATCCCATTTAATAGAAGAAAGCAAGAAATATATTAGTTAATAAAATAAACATTATTTAATCATAGGAAAGTAGACACTGTCCTTTTGAGAAGGGCCTCGGAGGTATTTTATGACAATTTATGAATTTCATGTGTCAAAGGTGTAGCTGCTAAATGCTATAAACCCTTTGCCATCAGCTCCACCATTCATCCACCTGGTGATATGGCTAATAAAATTTGATTTTTACAGCCGAGGCATACTGTTACCTAAATTACATCTGACCAATTACTGAAGTCACTGAGCGTGTGGTACAGAATATATACTGTGTGGAAATTCATCTGTGGGCCCCCTGGCACTCGCGGTAATCTGACAGAAGTGTTTCAGTCATCTGGCAGTGTTTAATATTAGGAACATTTGTTTAATGCTAGTCACTAATTAAATTTATGTTCTTCCACCAACTGTTACTTGGTTGGAGAAACCCAACCCCACGTTTTAACAAACCCTTTAACTCATGTTGATTTCTAATACAACCAGTTGGAGATTTAAATATGTGTTCTCTGGAAATTTAGGGTGTGAGCAAACGTGGAAGGTGGGGGAGGTGTGTTGGTGAAGGTGTTCAAATCAGGACAAAAATAAGCTTTTTGGATCCACTTACTAAAACGCAAAACTCTGAATACAAACTATTTGAAGTACAAATGTAATTTTAAAAAATCTAATATTCTAACGATTAAACTAGCCATCTAGAAGCTGTTTAAAGACACCTTTATCCCAAAAGAAAGCTTCCACTTTAAGAGGCTGGAGAAGAAAAAGAGCATTAAAATGTGCTTTACCAGGGAAAAGTCCAGGAAAACATTCAAGTCAGAAGCTTGTGTCTGTGAGAACATTTAAAACCAATTTAGTAACTTAACTATTGTGATCACTGTTAAACTAGAATTTCTTTCTATTACGAGTTCTAGATGCAAAAGCTTTGAAACTCAATGACTAATAATTCTTAAATTAGCTCAAAAGGTTGAAACATTTTTTTCATTATATTACATGGTGAAACTCTAATTTTGAGTACTCTTAAGGGAGGGAAAGCATTCTTTGAGTTTTATTTTGTGTCAGGAATTTATAGACCTCTTTAAGGCCAAGCAGGATAGAGAGCATGGGAGAAGAAAAACTCAAGATGGAAGTATTGAAAAGGGAAGATTTGTAAATGCTGATCTGAAAAGAGAGGGTTTTTTTTTTTTTTTAAATGTATTGGATTCATTCATCCAGCCGAATATACAGATTTTTTGAATATTAAAAATATAACAATATCTCTGGCTGTGTAGCTCAATTGGGCATAGCATCATTGCCATACACCAAGCTTATGGGGATTTGATCTCAGATCAGGGCACATGCAAGAATCAACCAATGAGTGCATAAATGAGGAGAACAACAAATCAATGTTTCTCTCTCTCAAATCAATCTATAAAAAATTTTAAATATGAGAATAAATTCTTCTTGGAAGAAGGAAAATATAACTTGTATAAAAACTATGGCTCTCTAGTTTGATTGACAGCCATTTGACAAAGAGATGTGAAAGGCATCTAACAAAGCAGTCTATAAAAAAAAATGTTATGTCCAATGATCTTAGGTCCCATTTCTCTTGGATCATCATATCCTATCCCCTCATCCACACCCTTCCTCTGCCATAATCCTCCTTCAATAACCCTCCCACAGAAACTACAGGGCTGCTGACATCATGAATAATTAGATCCGAGAGGCCAGAGTGGATTTCCAAAGCCATGCCAAGGCCTGCAATGGTTAAGCAGAATAATCTGTATCTGAATAATCTGCAGACTAGGGATCCTTGAGAAAATCTAGCCAATAGAATCAAGGAATGTTCCAGCTCAAGGGAACCCATGCGCTTTGTAGGCCAGAGTCTCACCTTCTTTGCAACCCAGGTACCCATGAGGGATTCATCATACTGATCACTCAGTGGTGGCAATTCCCAGGGGAGGGAGACGGTGAGGCTGGGGGTTGTTCACATCTCAGTAAGTATAACAATCCCCAAGGAACATGTGTATTTTGATAAAGTGCCCCCACGGTATTCTAATATCCCTGCCCACTGAGAAGCACTGGTATGATCCAATCTCTTCAACACACAGATGAGAAAGATGTGAGAGATGAGATCTTGGCTTGCCTCCAATCATGCAAGTTCTTCCAAACGGATGATATATCTTTTCCTCCTTCCCTTCTATCTAAGGAGATAAATGACCAAGCAACTGGGCAGAGGTGCAGGTAAACATATGTGTGCATATATCCATCTTTGGTAGGCACAATATATAAAGACACATGGATATATAAAGATATAGACCTATTTCTTCATATATTGTGCCCACCAAAGATGAATATATATGTACATATACATACATATATATGAAAAAAAAACTAGGAGTATGGGGATCTGTTTATCTATCTATCTATCTATCTATCTATTCACCTTCTAGTAAGAAAATGGTTACAATTGGTGCCTTTTCACAGTTCCTTATAACTGAAAAGTATCAGCTAAATAAAAAAAATAGTATCTGAGTGCCAGAGCCTTTTAAGAAAGAAACTACCATGAAAGCTTCCTGTCCTAAAGTCCAATTTCAAGGTCGACCAAGCAACTTCAGACTCTATATTGAACAACAAATTCTAAATAATAGTCTTTTACCCTAGTAAACAGAGGCTGATAAAGGAAGGCAGTGAGGCCTTATGCCACAATAATTTGGGGGATGGGCAGGGTGGGGCGGGACATTAGGCTTGTGAAAATAAGCCCTGTTCCCCATCACTGCTCATCACAAGAACTGAAATCAAGTAGACACGCACGCACAAGTTTCATGTAGGAAAAAAAAAAAAAAAAAAAGAAAGAAAGTAAAAAGACTCACCAAACTCATCACATATACTCTCATTTTCTATTAGAGTAGGGTGGTCAAAGGTGTCCCGACAGTACAGGATCTGGGGGTTCTTGCTGACCACGGCGATGCCTCCCAGGGCTAACGCGAACTGGTCCGTTAGGATAGAAGTCGGCTTATCTTGGATGCGCTTCAGCATCGAGCGGTACCGGCAGTACTGGGGGTAGCTGAGCACGATCACATTTGTTTCTTCCTCGTCCTCTCCTAGACAAACAAGAAAACACTTCCATTATCCTCTCCCCTCCACCTGCCATGGCCATGGCATGATTTCAACAGTCTCTTCTAGTTTTTGTAGTAAAAATAAGGTCTTCAACAAGACTCTTACACCAGTTCATCTTCATTACAGACTGGCTAATGCACCTTCCTAGCCTCTCCTCCTCAGTCCAGATCCCCCCTAAAGCCTCAGGCTACCTGTAGAGAAAAGAAAAGGCAGAGAAAACAAACAGAGGGATGGCCCTAGAGATGGTTTAAGCAATTTTGGGGTCCCCAGCAAGCAGCAGAACCAAAGAAAACTGTTGTGAAAGAATTGGATATATATTTTAACCATGAAAGTCATCCTTATAGGAAAAATCAGAATTTTGTTGAGCTCCTTTATGCTTATTTCCACAACCTGGTATGGCTCTTTTTATTTTTATTATAAATATTTCAGGGCTTGAAGGCTCAGAAAATCATCTGGCCCCCAAAAGATGTCCAAAGAGCATCATCATCTGCTTGGTGGTTAGTGCTCTTTAACAAATATTTCTGGTTCTCCCTCCTTCTCCCTCAATTTTTTTAAAAAATTATCTTTATTGTTGAAAGTATTACAGATATCTCCCCTCCCTTCCCCCACCCCATTGATCCCTTCTAACCCCACCCTCCAGCCTTCACCACCCTATTGTTTGTGTGTGTCCCTGGGTCATGCATATATGCATGCAATTTCTTTGGTTAATCTTCAATGGAGTCAAGTGGTCACATGACTTGGTTTGGCCAATGAAATATGATGGAAGTGAGTGACTCCTTTATGAGCCAGTGTTTGACCACGCTTTCTCCTCCCTTTGCTCTGAACGTCTGTAATGTTTCCGATAGTGGCAAGTTTGCCGGTCTGGGTCTTAGAGAATAACATGGAGCAGAGTCCCTACTTGATCGATCTTAAAAGGACCTGTAAGCAGAAAAGAAACTGTTTGCATTTCACTTTGAGTGAGACTGTGCCTTGGGGTTTCTCTGTTTTTGCAGAGTGATCTATCCCAACTTGATTGATACATCTACCTTCCCTGCCCTCCCCTCATCGCATACCCCCTATCTTCTAATGTTCCTCAAACCCATCTGGTAACTTGGCACAGCTCAGGGATCCACACTGAGAGGACTCCCCAGAGCAACCTTGTGAAAGAACCAAGTTAACCCAGGAGAAAGTCTCAGCACTGTTAAAGAAGCTCCCTTGTACCCTCATCTTAATGCTTACCTACACCACACTACCAAGTGTTTATTTATAAAAACCAGATTCTGCATGAGTAAATCCTCCCTTCCTCTTAGGCTCGAGAAATGACAAACACTCGCCCCCTACCCCCTTTGGTAGCCTGCCACCTGCACAATGGCACGCTGAATTTAGGCCCCATGACCCACTTTGCCATCTCTCTCTCTAACCACACCATCAGCGCGTTTATGAGCAATTCCCAGACATGTCACTTGCTTATCCAAAGGGGAAAATACTATTTTGAGCCCTTACCATGCTGCAGGGAATTGCACAAGACAGTTGTTAAGGATCCCAACATTATTGTGGCCATCTGGTAACCAGTGGGAGACGAATGAGTGAGGACATAACATAATGATGGAACATAACCAGCACCAATGGAAGGTGCATGTGTGACCTTTTCCGATAGGAGGCCAATACCCAGATGTATTTCTAATTATGTTCACTTAGTTCCTCAGGCTGGAGGCTTCTTCGAGAACGGAGATGCTTAGCTGCTTTCAAGATGACATCTATTAACAGTTTACATTTCGTAGACTCCTGCTTGGTTTGTGGGTAGCCACTTTGTCAGCTGGCACACTTAATGAAAAGGAAGCATGTTTTACATTGAAGGTATGTCCTCCAGTGAAAAGAGGTTTGAGATGTTGATGTGTGTCCCAAGACATGCCAATATGAGATTTTTACGACAGACCAAGACATCTCTGCTTTCTATAGAGTTAAAACACCCAAAAAATATTAGGTGGAAATATTCAGCAAATATTATCAGAATTCCAGTGTATCTACTATTTGTAGAAACAGACTCCGATGTGTCAATTTGTAATGTTACACTGTATTTGTCCAAATGATCAAGATCTGCCCAAGACTGGGCAAGCTGAGAGAGGGGTATGACTACGAAGCCCTAGGAATTATTTCAACATGCTCAGCACCTAGCACCATCTCCAGTCCATAGGAAAGTCTGTGCAAATACTTGTTGATTCTAAAATTCTATCTTGGTTGTGCTTTGGCTTTCTGTGATGGTGCAAAAGTTGCACTAGTTTCTTGAAGTGTTCTTGAAATGCAATAGAGAAAGTTGAGCCTTTCAGATTAATGGAGAAAGACTGGATACTTCAGAGTTAATGTTTAGCAAATGTTGTCACGTGGACTCTCGGGATCACTTCACTCCCTTCCAATCCCTTCATTCTCCTCTTGGTTTGTTCTGACCATTTTTCATGAGGCTGCTATCTCTCACACCTTTCCAAGTCTCTGGATGAAATTAGCTTCCTAGCTAACTTCTGTACTTTGAAATGGCTCCTTTTCCCCCCTTTCCCTTCTCCCTTTTCTTTCCATCTCATCCTGACTTGAAACCTTTACCCCTCTTCACACGTTTCCTAAACACAGCAACCATGCCATGAGTTTTCTCTTTGGGCTGGAACAAAACCAGAAGTTCCCTCTGATCCTAAGTCATGAAAACACATCCAATGAGACCATTCATCCTGGAGACAATGTCTCTGAGTGCTCCTGGGGCTGCCCATCTGGGACCCACACAGGTGCCTGCACACAGGCAGTTTCCGGGGCCTATTAGAACCCACTGGCTCAGAATCTTTAAGGCTGGGGCTCAGGAAAGTCTAATTCTAATTCTGAGTTTAGCTTTTTGCATAGACCTATAGTAATTTACTTAGTTTGCATTTTGACACCCCCCCTCTCTCTTATATATAAATTATATAAATTCAGTTTTCAGGTATATGCTTTTATCCAAACCACCAGTGTACCTGGAACAGAATCCAGGACCAAATTCCCTTCTCTTTGCCACTTTCTCAGGATTGTTGCAGGTATCACAGAAAACAGAAAATGAAAAAAAAGCTCTCAACCAAAAATATGAAGGGCTGAAGGACAGCTCTCCTGTTTATGAAGCAGAACAAATACTATTATGATTTCTGGTACTACTAACAAATCACTACAAGGTACAAACGTGTTTCTCATAACCTGTCTCTTTTGTTCCTCACACAACCCTATAAGTAGCATTATTTCCTGTTAATATCCCCCAATTTAGAGATGGGAAAACTGAGATTCAGACACCCCAGGGACTAGTCCAGTTTTTCCAAGAATTAGAAAGTGGTGGAGGTTAGTCTATAACCCAATCTTTTAACTCTAAGTGTGATGAGCACTAATAATAATAATAATAATAATAGTTTAACTTATTCTCAATATTAGGGATGAGAATGTGGGCTTCTGATCAAGTAAAATATGAGCCTTCTGTTTCATGAAGAACTGTAGAATGCAGCCGGTTAGAAGCCAGAATTCTGCTACTCTGTTGAAGTTAGCTTGTTATTATTTTGGAACACTGCAATTCCCATTGTACCGATTTAACGTTACTGACACACCTTTCATGCATATCAATTTTCCATTTTCTACCCACGTGACAAGAAAGAAAGCCAACTCTCATTGTGCAAGCCTAGAACCCCTGCTCCTCATTAACCTCTTCCCACACGAAGAGGCCGGAGGCACAGTTGGGACCCGGTCTACAGTGGCAATGGTGAGTGATGCCAAAACATAAATTATGATAATGTTGCTTACGAACAGAACCACCCATTTAGGACCAGGATTTTGGCATTGTTTGGACAGAGGCAAATTTCCAACCTTACAATTAGATTTCCCCAGAGGAGTTGCCTTCAATATTTACAGAAACCACAGAAAGCCCTGGAGACCCTCAGGACTCCCATGAAGGTGAACAAATCATTCTTGGGGAGAGTGAAGAGAAGTTCCAGGGTAAAGGTGAGACCTGGAGGAAAAAACAATCCATCTAGGTCAAAGTTTCACTGAGTGAAGACACCCCGAATCTCTCTTGTGGAGTCTAAGCAGACATCTTTATCTAACTGGAGGAACACTTTTTCCCTCCTCAAGAACGTGGGAACAGCGTGGTCACCTTAGTATGAAAGGAATACATGCCAGAGTATAAAATTATGAGTTTCGGAGAGCTTCCTTGATCTAAAACTCTATGATCCTGTAACTCCCTCCTAAGCCTTTGCATTAAATTAGCTTCCTCCTGATACAGCTACAACAATATTATATTGTCCAACAGCTGTCATATTTTTATTTTGCCCGAGCACACTAAGAAACAAAGCCAAACAACCCTTTCAAGAAATCTTATTGAAATTCCGCAGCTACTTCTTTTTTCTTTATGCATTTCAGATACCCATAAACAAACACTCCTAAGTAAAGTTTGCCCATGAGGCAGAGCTGCCTGCAAATGCTGTGTTGGACATTTTCCCTTTCCCAATTCATCATGGGTCCAGCAGATAAAGTTAAGAATGAATAAAGAATGGATCAACTGCAGGTTTGTTTAGCAAAAACACAAACAAAGTGTTCTCGGAACAAAGATTTTCTTTCAACCACGCCCACGTAGGAAAGAAATCAAAGTATTACCCCAAGGAATCTTCTCTCACACACTCTAGCCAGTTGTTGCCGGTTGGGTTATATATACATTACTTGATTTCTGTCAACAGAAAATGATCAGCAATAAATTGCTGGTACCAAAGACTGAAATTTAAAACCATAATTATGATATCCTATTAAAATGTCATCTCATTCTCCCACTTCATGAGGAAAAAAAGCAAATATGCCTGTTTTTAAATGAAATATTCAAAGGGAATAAGAGAACCCAAATTGCCAAACCTCACTTCAACTCCAGTGGGGAAAAAAAAACAAAAAAACTTTGCCTATTAAAAGTTAATACCTAAAGTACACGGCTTGTAATGCTTCAACCAAAATTACTCTAATCCTG